CAAACTCTAAACCCTACAGTAAACCCTAAACCCCAAACCTAAACTCTAAGCCCTAAACCTTAAACCCTTAAACCCTAAAACCCTAAACCCTAAACCCTAAACCCTAAAACCCTAAACCCTAAACCCTAAAACCCTAAACCCTAAACCCAAAACTCTAAACCGGACATGTCTACGTGTCGACGAGTGCAGAAGCCTCGGGGTTCAGGACATGAGAGTTTCAAGTCTCCTGATCTTGAAACGGTTTAGGGTTTAGGGTTTAGGGTTTAGGTTTTAGGTTTTAGGGTTTAGGGTTTAGGGTTTAGGTTTTAGGGTTTAGGGTTTAGGGTTAACGAACGAGTATACCTTCGAGTATCTGGGTTTAGGGTTCAGGGTTTAGGGTTTAGGGTTCCGGGTTCAGGGTTTAGGGTTTTGGGATCTTCGAGTAAAGTATGATCCCTATTCTGACGTCAGGAGTGTATTGAAAAACCTCTGGGCCTAAACCCTAAACCCTAAACCCTAAACCCTAAACCCTAAACCCTAAACCCTAAACCATGGTGAAGCTTCCGGCAATGGAGCAGTTCCCCCTGCGGCGACACGAGTTTGCGGCTCCTTGGCGCATTGCGGTGGTAGCACGTGCAATCTTCGTTAGGGTTTAGGGTTTAGGGTTTAGGGTTTAGGGTTTAGGCGGATACGGCATTTCTACTGTAGGGGCCAAAATGATTAGAATAGGGTTTGGGGGTATATTAGACAATATAGTGATAATATCTTTAACTTATAATAAGGAAGCCCCTAGAATACCATTGGTAACTAGTTTGGTAATTGGTTAAGGCGTCTTTGTTATGGGTTCAGAAAGCCAAGGGCTTCTGCTATAGGCTAATGAAAGATCCTACCTACAGTCCCCATTGTAGTTCTTTTTTTGGTTTTACCAGTTCTATATGAAGGATTCTATAAGGTAACCCCAAAAAGGAACTACAATGGAGCCTCTAGGTACTACTAGGATCCTGAATACCGGAGCCCAGATTCGTGTGAATGAAGGAGCACACAGTATACGTTCGAGCATACAAGACTTGGGAAACATTTTGGGAGGCTTCCTGGTTAAACCCTACTTGGAGGACCATGGGACTTAGTAAGTATAAGGTTATAACTACCTTAATTGGGGTTATAATTACTCATAAGTTTATAAGTATAGTTACCTTATTTATCCCCAGTTACTAAGTCCCATGATCCTCTAAGTAAACCCTAAACCGTAAGGCTATCCTGCGAATCTCCTGCGGGTCCCCTCCTGGTGTCTGGGTTGTCGTGGTGGTCGTGGTCGTCGTGGTGTTTTTTTCACTGTTTGGGGATCTACGCGGGCATCATTTTCAAAGTACAGTCCTTAATGAAGGCGTATGGGGGCTCTTTGGGAGCTTCCTTTAACCCCAAACCCCTAAACCCCTAAACCCTAAACCCTAAACCCTAAACCCTAAACCCTAAACCCCATAAACCTTTAACACCACGTGACAAGAACACGGTGATGTCTCACAGGGGTTCGACTGGCCGCAGGTTTTCCAGCCGCAGGTTTTCCAGCTGCCCCTGCGGCTGGGGACACCAGCTGCAAAAGAAGAGGTGAGAGTTTAGAGTTTGGGGTTAACCCTTAGAGCCTCAAATAGGGGTATACTCTCTGGTGCTTAGTAGCGAACGGATCCCTAGATAGTCCCTTAAGGTCCCTTATAGTAGGCCCTATAACCCATTCCCCCATTCCCTACCGAGCACCAGACAGCATAGGGTCCCTCATAGTAGGTATTTGGGGACTAAGAGAGGGAAGCAGGAGGGTCAAAGGAGGTGAGGGAGCCTAAACCTAGGCCCCGTGCCCTAAACCCTAAACCCTAAACCCTAAACCCTATAAACCCTATAAGCCCTATAAACCCTAAACCCTAAACCCTAAACCCTAAACCCTAAACCCTAAACCCTAAACCCTTTCCGCTGAGCCGCCGAACCTTATAGACCCCTAAGGCCTGAGCCTTCTTGAACCACGAACTGGAATGTCAGACCCTGAACCCTAACATAGGAGCCTTAATACTTACCTAAGTTATTTTGGGGGTTCCTTACTATAGTTTAGGGTTTAGGGTTTAGGGTTTAGGGTTTAGGGTTTAGGGTTTAGGGTTTAGGTTTGGGGTTCAGGGTTTAGGGTTTAGGGTTTAGTATAATATACCCCAAGACCCTATACTAATTATTAAGGCCCCTACATGGAACCCTAAACCCCTAAACTCCTAAAAACCGTCAACCCTAAACCGCTAAACCCTCAACCCTAAACCCTAAACCGGGAGGCATCTTGCAGGGAGAAATCTGCCCGGGGCACCAAATTTGCCCGCTTTCCTCGAGCGCCTGGGCTTCGAAACAGGGCATCCGTTGCTGAGAGAGCGCCTTAACTAGGGAATATACCTGATAGGCCTTAGTATTTGTTATGTGTTAGTGTTTAGGGTTTAGGGTTTATAGGGTTTAAGTGTAAACTCCGTATTTTGTGGGTAATGGCTCTCGGGGTACTTTGAATCATTCAGGTGCAGTAGGAGGGGGCAATCATGCGGACATGATACCCCACCCCGAACCCCTCCAATGCACATGAGAACTTGGGTGCTGTAGAAGCTTAAAAGAGCCAACACTATTCTGGGGGTTCCGTATTTTATTTATACAGTATGGCATTCCCAGAAAACATGTTCCAACTATTAAGGCATTAAGGCCCTTCCTTTCAAAACTGCGCAGATCCAACATCGAGTTTCATTGTATTGTCGGACGGCTTTCGAGAACAGCGAGCCAAAGTCGTGAATGGTACCCTAAGCCCTAAACCCTAAACCCTAACCCTAAACCCTAAACCCTAAACCCTAAACCCTAAACCTAAAACCCTAAACCCTAAACCCTAAAGCCCTAAACCCTCAACCCTAAAAAACCCTCAAAACCCTAAAGGACGGGTCGTACCGGGATCTAGTGCGCTCCGCCATGCTGAGGACATGCCAACGAAAGAGGTTCCAGGCGCGCGTCGGCCCTAACCTTGAACCCTAAACCCAGAAACCCAGAACCCTAAACCCTGAACCCCTAACCCCTCAAACCCTAAACCCTAAACCCCTAAACCCCTAAACCCTAACCCGGAAACCTAAAGCCTGACCCGGGTCTGTAGCTGTTGCCAGAGTGACACTTCCGATGCGAGTGACCTTGAGGTTCCTGCTAGTCTTTTGGTTTAGGGTTTAGGGTTTAGGGTTTAGGGTTTAGAGTCTTTATGTTTCGTTGCCGTTGCCAAGAAGTGTATGATTTCGGGATTTAGAGTTTGGGGGTTTAGGGTTCTAGGGTTTAGGGTTCTGGGCTTTAGGTTTCTGGGGTTTAGGGTTCTGGGTTTAGGGTTCTGGGGTTTAGGGTTCTGGGGTTTAGGGGTCTAGGGTTTAGGGTTTAGGGATTTAGAGTTTTGGGCGCCAGACACGCAGCAGCAGTTCCTGCCAGGCTACACAGGATTCCGCCCCGGTAATGCTGATGGAGCTTTTGCCGTGGGTACGCCCTTCGGTGCCGCCTGTCATGCACGCGTTTGAGTCGTGCATTGGAAACGAGCAGATGGTCCTCTTAGCAGCCGAGGAAACAGCAGCCTTGTCGGCGAGGAGGCATCTGTTCAACCGCACCTTGGCAGAAAGCCAGTAGCCCCACGACCATAACTTGTTGCTGGCTGTTCTTTCTGCTGCAGTCGCTACATGAGGTTTATGTGAAGCGACATTGGCCTGGGGTCTGTCTGCTGCGCACGCGTGAGGTCCACACACGTCGGGCCCGGCCTACGGCTGGACGGGGCAGCTCTCGAAGTTTCGCGGAACCTGATTTCAGACCCGGCAGATTCACAGAAGCACGTGGGTCTGAAGACTCTAGTAGAGCACATGCAAAGCATCGGATCTACCAGAAGAGCGAACGCAGCATGACTGTTCGTTCGGGGAGTGTGGTGCAACGCTGCCCCCTGCAATATAGGGGCCTTAATGATTCGGATAGGGTTTTGGGGTAAGACTATACTATAACTATAACTATAATAAGGATCCCCCCAAAGTAGTACAGGTAAGTAATATTAAGGCCCCTATATTACTGGAAAATGAGAGGCGACCCTGTGCAATCCTTTTCAAGCTCTCCTTGACAAAGTTCGCAAGGGGCTGAAAAGGTTATGTAATCACCAGCTATCAGCTATGTGTTGCTGATGACCTCCCTAAACACTAAATCCCTTAACCCCAAACCCCTAAGCCCTAAACCCCGAAACCCTAAGTAGATTCAAACCCTAAATCCTAAACCCTGGACCGTGGGAGGGCAGGGCATTCTTTTGCGGACCCCTGGCAAAGCCAGGGAAGCTGCTGCAAAATCATGCTACAACAGAGGCACCCAGGGCATCTCTCTCTCTCTCTCTATCATTATCTCTGAGACGTATTTCTCTCAGTGACACAAGCACACACAAAAAATATGTACATGTATGTACATATAAACAACTGAACAGATAGATAAACACATGTGTTAAGAATTACGTACGTGTGTGTATATGTATATATGTATGTGTATATATATATATATATATAGTTTTTTATTTGTAGTTACATATTTTATGCACATATATGATGGGTTTTGATCTGAACACCCTTGAGGCGAACTTTATATCAACAGATCACAGCGGTTCCACGATGGTTCCTGAAAGTAGTTAGGTGAATGTTTTCCCGTAACTCCTTCTTGTCATGCAGTACAAGCACATGAAAGCAACAGGCCTCAACATGAGGAGCTAAGATGTTCGTGAAGCTTCAGCCACGCGTCTCAATAAGAAGCAATTATGCGAATACGTGTATGTATATGTATATGTATATATGTATATACACACACTATCGATGTATGTCTATACACATACACATGTATACATGTATGTATACAGGTTTACAAAGTACGCATTAGTTCACGCCCATACAGACATATGTGTGCATGCATAGTATACCATACACATATCTATATACATACACACACACATTGTATGTCTGTGACTGTCTGTCTGCCTGCCTGCCTGGCTGTCTGCCTGTCTGTCTGCATGCATGCATGTATGAATAAAATCATGTATGTATGCATGTATTTATGTATGTATGCATTTATGTATGTGCATATACACATTAAGACAAAGAATGTATGCAAAGAGTCCCTGATGGCTGCCTCGGAACCCCTTGCGCCTTAGGGACCGAATGACCCTTATGAGTATGCCCTTGTACCATGAAACCCTATGTGGTATATGAGCCTTAAACCCTTTGAGGGCTCATTTCGTCCTCAAGCCCTAAACCCTATCGAACTCATAATAGTTCTCAATAGCAACCCAGAAAGGGACCCTAAACCCTAAGCCCTAAACCCTACTGTAAGCCCTAAGCCCTAAACCCTGAACCCTAAACCCTGAACCCTAAACCCTAAACCCTAAACCCTAAACCCTAAACCCAAAGCAAAAGCAGCCCTTTCAGGGTTCGTTTCGTCCGTTCTCAACCCTTCCGAGGCCCGCGGTGCTCGGCGCGGGGCGGTGCCCCGGCTACCACGCCGCTGAGCCCAGAGTTCTGGGTTCAGAGTTTAGGGTTTAGAGTTTAGGGTTTTGGGTTTAGGGTTTAGGGTTTAGGGTTTTGGGTTTTGGGTTTAGGGTCGAGGGTCTAGGGCCGAGGGTTTAGGGTTTAGGGTGCCAGAGGAGTCTAGGGTTTAGGGTTTAGGGTATACCAGAGGAGTCTAGGGTTAAGGTTTGGGATTTTAGGGTTTCGGGTTTAGGGTTTGGGGTTAGGGGTTAAGGGTTTGAGTATGAAGTTCTGGGGAAGGTATACCAGAGCCGTCTAGTGTTTAGGGTTTGGGATTTTCGGGTTTGGGTATGAAGTTCTGGGGAAGGTATACCAGAGGCGTCTAGGGTTTAGAGTTTAGGATTTAAGGATTTGGGTATGGGGGGTTTAGGGCTTTGTCAGTAGGCTTTTAGGTGAAGGGTCTTGAAGGTGTGCTTATGTGTGTTTTGAGTGGTTTTTAGGTGAAGACCGTCCAGTAGGCCTCACGTTTGTGCCCATGCTGGCGAAGCGGATTTGGGAGTCACTCAGCCACAAGCAGGCGGTGACTGCTTTCTTGTTCTTTCTGTGTATGATTTCTGTCCGTCCCCATCTATCAAACCCATCTACGTATCATTATCTATCTACTGGCGATCATGTTCGTATATACACGTGAACGTCCATTCATGTCCTCGTGACCTGCTTGTCAGAGAGACAGAGAGCGATAGAGATTAAGAGGGAGAGAGGGAGAGAGAGAGAGAGAGAGAGAGAGAGACCGAGACCCTAAACCTTGAACCCTGAACCCTAAACCCTAGACCCTGAACCCTAAAGCCTAAACCCTGAACCCTAACGCCTAGACCCTAAACCCTAAGCCCTAAACCCTAAAGCCTAAACCCTAAAGCCTAAACCCTAAACCCTAAGCCCTAAACCCTTCGCCTAAACCCTAAACCCTAAGCCCTAAACCCTACAGCCTAGATCCTAAACCCTAAACCCAGGGCTCGAGTCTGGTGCCGGCCGCCGCGGTGCAGGAGGCGCCAGAGCAGTAGGAAGATCCCACCTGGCTTTTCAGAGGTTTGGAGTTTAGGGTTTAAGGTTTAAGGTTTAGGGTTCAGGGTCTAGGGTTTAGGGTTTAGGGTTTAAGTTTTAGGGTTTAGGGTCTAGGGTTTAGGGTTTAGGGTCTAGCTTTTAGGGTGTAATTTTTAAGGTTTAGGGTCTAGGGTTTAGCGTTTAAGATTTGGGGTTTAGGGTCTAGGGTTTAGGGTGTGGAGT